TCTCTCTCTCTCTCTCTCTCTCTCTCTCTCTCTCTCTCTCTCACACACACACACACACACACACACACACACACATTATAAAATTGTTGGAATCTTACCTGTAATATAATGGGACTTTTAAAATAATGTCTTTATATGTAATAATTTTTGAGGGAGTCTGGAACTAAGTGTCAGATGAAGATGAAAGCCCCTACTTGTAGCTCCTATTTGTACACATTAGGTACCAGGTGTGAATGTAGATGTCGTAATGTGGCTCTCTCAAGTGAATTCACAAAATGCTGGACATGAGTACCAGTCACTTCTTATAGCTCACATATTAGTACCAAGTGCCAGATATATGGGGGTGTGTGTCTCTTCATTTAACTCATTCATTTGGACCCATGAAGTGAGTGACTTTTACTGGAAAAAAAATTTACAATGATATATGCACAATCACCAAAATCTGGGTCTGTTTTTCAAATTGAGCATCCTTATACAAAGTAAAGGAGTACTTAACTCAGTTGTATTATGGTTTTTGGCTTGGTCCACTTTTTTTTTCCATATGTTAAGGTTTTATTCTTTTTTATATTATTGGTTGTTCAAAACATTACAAAGCTCATGATATATCATCTTTCATACATTTGACTCAATTGGGTTATGAACTCCCATTTTTACCCCAAATACAAATTGCAGAATCACATCGGTTACACACTCTCATTTTTACATAATGGCATATTAGTGACTGTTGTATTCTGCTACCTTTCCTATCGCTTGGTCCACTTTTGAATCACTGACTCTGAATACATAATACTGCAACCACTAGATAAAAGGAAAGATAATAAGACCATGTCAGATGTACAATAAATCGCTGCACTTAATTGCTATCCACTGGTGGATATCATATTACACAGCAAGCCCAGTATACTAGGCCAGTATTCACTTGGCCTAGTAATTATTAGGAATTGTTTGCTGAGCATACATAGTACAAGTCTTAGTATGAGGAGAAAGCTTATATTAAAACAGGGGGCTTCAGGAAATTCTACAGAAATAGGATTGAACATAAGTATATTAAGGTATGAACATAGACGTGCAGATAATGCTAGACTGCCTAATTGACTGTGGCTTAGGAATTATGCCTAAATCTTGCACATATATAGAAGAAATAAATGGTTCTTAAATAAATGCCTGTATAAGTTGTACTGACTTGGATTATGATTGTCATCAATGATCTTTTACCTCTCTTGGTATTTTCTAAATGTTATATTACATATGTTGATAATCTAAAAACCAGCTCAACATATTCTACCAGTCTATGGCTATACTCAAATGTTCATGGATAAATTTATCTTGAAAAGTATTGTTTCCATTGATTAGAGTTCATTCTAGGTAATACTCTTATGTCTACCAAATGGATTGTTTTCCCTTCTATCAGATGAATACATAGTTCACCTACGGACACATCTTTACCTGAAAATTTTTCAGTGAATAGTCCTTAATTCAAAAACTAAGCCAGGCATGGTGGCACACACCTGTAATCCCAGTGGCTTGGGAGGCTGAGGCAGGAGAATCATGAGTTCAAAACTAGCCTCAGCAAAAGTGAGGACCTGAGCCACTCAGCAAGACCCTGTCTCTGAATAAAATATAAAATAGGACTGGGGACTTGGCTCAGTGGTCGAGTGCCCCTGAGTTCAATCCCTAGTACCAAAAAAAAAAAAAAAAGAAAGAAAAGCCAAAGCTCTTCTTAATTTATTTTTACATTAAATATCTGTCATTATATATGCAGTTTCATTTTTGTAACTTTCCCATACCCTTTGTGGCAAAGAGAAGGTATTAATTGAAATATACTGCATTTTCCCCTTCACTTCCCTGCATTTTTCAGAATCCCCAGATATTGTACATAAAATATCTCCCTCTTTATTTCCAGACAGAAGATATGTACTGGTTGTATGAAATCAATGGGTTACCCCCAGCAAGCACATCACTGATAAATGTAAAAGCCAAAATCGATTCTACTAACAAGAGATATGACAACATGCCAATTCGTCAGCACAATTTTGTCCGTGAAAATACTAAACTCATAAGAACAGGAGTATCTTCTACAATCAAGGGTGCTCCTTTGATGATGAAGAATAAATAAAATCTTTTTTCAAAACATTTCTTGGTCTCAAGTAGAATTAAATATTTTCATGATATTTTATCTTCTGGAATATTTCTGAGGAATAATGGTTTAATTATAGTAGGCCTTCAATATTTTCTTGTCTTTTAAAATACTGACTTAATATGTTCTCTGAATATGTCATACTTCATTTCTGAGCTGTCTATGTTTTTTAAAATGGACTTGGGTTGCAAATTTTGGAGTTGGTTTACTTTTTTAAGTGCAGGAGTACATTTGTAGTAAAACCGGAACATGATTTTAGTGATTACAATATTTCAAATATTAGTGTTGCTATTAAAGCTCAATTGCTCATGTAGATGTTGCTTATGAGTCTTTATTTTTTAAATTGACAACTAAATGGTGTATATATTTATTATATGCAACTATATTTTGAAATATTCATTGCAGAATGGCTAACATAAGCTAATTAATTTATGTATTCTCTCACATATTTGTCATCCTTTTGTGGTAGATGCATTTAAAATGTACATTCTTAATGATTTTCCAGTATACAGTATATTGTTATTTATCCTAGTCACCATGTTTCACAGTAGATCTCTTGAATTTATTCCTTCTATCTTTATATCCTTTTACCAACATCTCCTCAGTTATCCCTGCCCACTCTCACCCCTGATAATCAATATTCCTTCTGCTTCTATGAGTTCACTTTTATAATATTCCAAATACAAGTGAGAATATTTGCTGTTCCCGAAAGAACAAGAACTAAATTTCTGTGCTTGGCTTATTCCATTTAGCATAATATCCTCCAAGTTCATCCATGTTGGCATAAATAACAGGAATTCCTTCTTTTTTAAGGCTTAATACTATTCTATTATACTTTAAATACTGGTGCTGCTATCAAACTCAATTTTTTCATGTAGATGGTCCTTACAAGTCTTTAAAATATTAATAATAAAAATTAGCATTTAAGATAGAAGTCACCATTTCTTATATCTGGTATTTGGAATATTATGTACTATTTAATAAGTAATTAATTTAAAAATACATATGTGTAGACCATATGTTCCTATACTTCAGTTTTTTGAAAACATAGGCATATCTCAAAATGATTCAGGGGAAAGTTTACTTTGATGCGCATCTGATCCTTGAGAATGTGTCATTAATCAAACTGAAAAAGAATATGTTGTTTGGGACCTATCAATGAGGGGAAATATAATAGAAAATAGCCATAATGGACCAGTTTTAAGACATTTTTCACACAAAATGGTTGGCTCTGCTACAAACCATTTACATGATTTTATGTAAGAATTTGCTGCTTATCCTTTTTGTACTTAGTTTCATTGTATACAAAATAAAGGAATTGTACTAGGATGGGGGTTTGCAATCTATGGTCTGTGGGAAAAATCTAGCCTGTCAACTATTTTTGTGCAGCCCCCTACCTAGAAGTAATTTTTACATTTTTAAATGGTGGAAAAATTCAATAGAAGAATTGTGTGACAGAAGAAAGTTGCAGAAAATTCACATTTCATTTTTCTATAAATTAAGTTTTATTGAAACAGCACAGTCATTTCTTTATATGTTGCCCACAACTATTCTTACACTTAAATGGAAAAATTAGGTAGACAGAAACCATGTAGCTTAAAATTTTAAAACTATTTATTCTTTGGCTCTTTACATTCAAAGTCTAGCAACCTGTATTAGGCTACGAATCAACTTTAGGAACCACTGTGAATCTATAAATTGTAATTTTCTTGCATGGTGTTAAGCAGAATTCTGGAAACACATCTATAGGATTAATAAATTAGTATTGTCTACAGCAATTGGGGTAGAGTGGAGTGGAAGCCCATATACTTTGGGTCTGCTGTTCCTGAGGAAACAAGAACTAAAATTCTGTGAATTTTCAAAAGACTTTCTCATTCTCTGTCCTCCTAAAGGTATTTGTTCTTCCCACAACTATCCTGTGGGGGAAAGGTAGGGAGATGTTCAATGTCTAAATATATTTTTAACAAAGCTTTCGTGAAATCTCTCAAATCCCTTCAGAAAGTAAAATTGCCTTTGCTGTGAAAGTACTTAGAAATCTAATTGTATTATGTTTTTTGTTTTTATAATGATGAATAATATTAAGTAATTTTAAACCTTTTATCTTTTATTTCACTTGGTGAATTATTTTTTCCTTTATAATTCTTTTAATTTGTTTCAATTAGTTATACATGACAGTAGAATGAACTTATGCACTTGATATATCATACATAAATGAGGTATAATTTCTCATTTTTCTGATTATACATGTTCTAGAATCACATTGGTCATGCAATCATATATGGACGTAAGGTAATAATGTCTGTTTCATTCTACTACCCTTCCTATCCCCATATCCCCTCCCCTCCCTTCACTCCCCTCTACCTAATCTAAGGTAACTCTATTTTTCCCTAGCAGCCCCCACTTATTGTGAATTAGCATCCACATATCAGAGAAAACATTCAGTCTTTGGTTTTTTGGAATTGGCTTATTTCACTTAGCATGATGTTGTCCAACTCCATCCATGTACCAGCAAATGCCATAATTTCATTCTTCTTTAAAGCTGAGTAATATTCCATCAAATACATATACCACATTTTCTTTATCCATTCACTTACTGAAGGGCACCTAGGTTGGTTCCATAGTTTAGCTATTGTGAATTCAGGTGCTATAAACATAAACCTTTTATCTTTGGCATTCTAAAAACCACAATTGCTCTGTTAACTGAAAAGCTCTAAAATTTTAAATTAAGGTGCCCAGCATGGAATGCATTTGAATTTGACTTTTCTAAGAGTAGGAAGTGAGGATGAGATCATGAGAAACATGCTATCAATTTATTTCATGTTGGAACTGTTTCAAAAATACTTCAAATTGTAATACTAAATAGTCATGTTTCAAATTTTAACCTGGATGTTATCTTCTTAAAATAAGGATCTTAATTTGAAATATCAGTGCAAACTGTTATATGTCCAAAGGAAAGTTGGGTGGGGACAACTCCAGTAGATCAAATTTAATAGTCAATAACATCCTAAGATCCATGAGAACATAAGCTTTGCTAAAATATGTTTTGGACTGCAAGAAGGACACAGAGGGTAGGGGTCCTGCCCACTTCCCCATGGCAGTCACTGTTTTAGGATAAATTGAAGGCTTCTGTGAGCACCAGTGACTGTCTCTGTTCTTTCTCTGATCACATGAGCATGCTTTACCTGAAAGGGCAGAGGTCAGCTAAAAGTGCCAGAGAGTTAATGCCCTTGGGACTTGATCTTGATCAGTAATGAATCAATAATGACAAGGGGAGCTTAACAATACTACTGTATCCCAGCCCTCTGAGTGGGACAACTCTGAGATGTTTTCTCTATGTTCTCAGAGTTTACAACAGGATTGAGCTTTCATTGCCTGTAGTGGTAACCTTGTCAAGGACACATGCTGAATTAGCTACCTTCCCTTCCTCATTCCTTTATGGTGTTTCCTGTAGTTACCTCCCAAATAAACTACCCACACTAAAACTTTTCATCTTACAAATTAGACTAATTTGTAAGATACCAATCTAAGAGACTCCTGAAACTTAACATTCAAAAACAACGCAGATGCCTGTCAACAGATGAATAAAGAAAACATGCACAATGGAGTTCTACTCAGCTATAAAGAGGAATAAAATTATGGCATTTGCAAGAAAATGAATGGAACTAAAGAACATCATTATAAGTGAAATAAACCAGACTCAAAGTCAAGGGTTCTGTGTTGTCTCTCATACACAGAAGCTAGAGCAAATTAAGGGGAAAAGAGGAGGGAGACCCCATGAAAACAGAAGGAATCTCAATGAAATAGAGGAAGGGACTCAGGGGGAAGGAGAAGGGAGGGGGAAAGGGAGGAAATTTGGAATGAAATTTACCAAGTTATGCTGTGTATATATATATATATATGAATATACCATTGTGAATGCCACCTTTAAGTATAACTTATAAAACACAGTGTTTTCGTCAGCTTTTTCATCACTGTGACCAAAAGACCTGACAAGAACAATTTTAGGGGAGGAAAAGTTTATTTGGGCCTCACAGTTTTCAAGGTCTCAATTCATTGACAGCTAACTCCATTGCTGTGGGTCAGAATGGAGGCTGAACATCATGGCAGAAGAGTGTGGAAGAGGATAGCAGCTCAGAACATGGCAATCAGGAAACAGAGAGCTGTACTCACCAGGTACAAAATATAAACCCCAAAGTTACACTCCCAGTGATCTGCCTCCTCCAGTTACTCCCCACCTGCCTATGGTGACTGCACAGTTTATTCCTGTCAGTGGATTAATTCACAGATTAGGTTAAAGCTCTCCTAACCAAATCATTTCACCTCTAAAGTAGGGAATACTTCATATCTAAACCATAACCCAAATTTTTTTTTTAAAAAAAATGGAAGACCAATATACAGTATGGGGAGGGAGGAGGAAAGGGAAAAAGGAAGTGTGGGAGACTGAATATTCCATACATGTATGATTATGTCAAAATGGAACCTATTGTTTATAATTATATTGCACTAATAAAAACATTAAAAATCAATATAGATTAGCCTCTCTCCTACAAAACTAATGGCAGGATGAGCTCCAGATCTATGATTAATTGATTTGCAGTAACCTTCACACTCCACTATATTGTGTTCCTAAATCCCAAAGGAGTTTTTCTTTGAACCTAAAGACTCAGCAGTAACTAAATCAACAGAACATCATGAATAGTTGATAAAAATTAAAATATGAATATGATAAATATGAACAACTGTAATTGCTTATACATGAAATCTAAAAATGTTGAGGGGGAGGTAATACATGTTGGTGCTATAAGGGCCATAATCATCTTTTAAAGTTGATACAAGAAGTCTGAACCAGTGTCTACTTGTACTTTCTGCAAATATCCCAAAGACAACCTAATGTACTCAGAATCATTTATTTCTCTCTTTTCTTTTTTTTAGCTGCACTCAGAATAGCAAATGCTCAATACACATTTGTTAATATTGATGATAGTAGTTTTTCAGGGAAAGACATTTTTCATATTATGCGTTTATCCAACATTTCCCAATTTCAAAATGTCTCATCACTTCTATTTATTCAATACTACAAGTTTGATTGCTGTCGTATCAGATCAAATAAGACAACCAGGAAATGCCAGATATAATTAAGTGCTTTAAGGTTGCCACATGTTTAAGGTCCCTTTAGAACAGCTGAGGGACATATTTTCAGTGATTTCTTACATAACATGAAGATAAAGCAGATGTTTAGCATATTTGCATTGAAAGCATCCTTAAAGTTCATGGTCTACGTCCTTAATTTACCATAGAAATTTACAAATTATA